CAGGCAAATTCCGGGTGTGCTGATTGTTCCTAGCCCATCGTTTGTTCCTTTCTACCATCTGAACAACTGTCCAACATTTCCACCGGTGCAAAAGATTTGGGCTATAACATTGTTGTGCCTTCTGAGTGCAAGTCTTCTTGCAATTTGTACACTCAGATGTTTCTGTATCACCTTCTGCCACACTGCAGAAGAGTCTTGCAGAAATCCTCACACACAAAAAAGGTGTGTGTGTGGGGGGAGGGGACTTCCTGTCAACCATGCGAGCACAGGATTCAATTTGCACTGTGGGACATATGAACGCACCAGAATTACCAGTGCCGATCGGTTACAATACCAAAAAATGGAATCAGACATAAGATTGTTTTTTTGGGAGATGGGAGGGTTTTCGGGATTCTGGGGGGTGGGACTCTGTGCGTCAATGAACAAACATGCGATACATTGAGCGACAATGATGTGGATTCTATGCCCGACATCGCCTCTAAGGTGCAAGGGCAGTGTTTTGTCATGTTTATGTGACAAATGTAATCAAAGGATTTGAGGGGGGAGGGGGGTGGGGGGGTATACCTTTTAAAACAATCATCAAAAACAGTTTGCACCTCCACCACTTGGCTTCGCGACAACCGAAACGAACCGCCTCTCATCAGTTCCTTGCTTCATTTTACAGAGGGTTGGCCACAAACACCCATGGCCTTTCAGGTGTGCCCTATGGGATGGGGGATGGTGCCTATCCCGTCCCCTCAAGGGCGATGATGTTCGACGATGTGGACAAAATTAAATGTTTGCTGGCATGACAGGGGCAAAAGCGTTCTTTCTTCTGCTGATGCTCCAGGCAGTTTGGCTAACCACAGCAAGAACAGTGGCAAAAATAAAAGCAGCGCACCATGTAACCAGGTTAACGGAAAGTAGCAGCCCATTTGGCGGCCGCACCTACGCTCCCGCTCCCGATGCGCCTGTCCACTGTACGCTCACCTTTTGTTGCAAATTACCTTCCCGGACGCGACGCCGCAGTTGGCGCACAGGGCAACAGCCGGCACGCAGCGCAGTTCGCTGCCCATCGCGATATGCACTTCCGCCCGCCTTCCAGAAACCGGATCACACCTGGCATTGGCCAAACCTCCGCGGAGTCCCCGAGGAAGCCCGGTCTCCCGCACAGACCCCAACCGCGCTAGCCTCAAACGCGCGCCAGCGGATCGCACCGCCCATCGCTTGCCTTCCCCCGCTCAACCCCTCCTTCATCGCGAACTGTCAAACGCGCCATGCGGCGATGCGCTCAATGCAATCGCCCACGGCCCGTCGGCTTCGGCAGCGCCCCTTTTATGGCCGCCTTGGGACGCCGTTCGTCATCGGGTCCAGGTTCTCGAGGTACGGCCATCGGTCATCTTTGGTCACCGAGCGAGCGAGGCGCCACGCGCCCTGCCCCCCACCCCTTGGACGGTAACGTGACGCCAACGTGAGGCCGGCGGGCCAGACGCCCGTCGGGCCATGAAGCCATTCCCGAGGCCACGGCAAGCGGGTCTCCCTTCGCGGAGGACCTCAATCAGGCCAGGCGGGCCTCCGATGAAGCGCACGTCACCGCGGGGGCTGAGCCAGCTGAGTCATGCATCCCGGTGCGCGCACGGCGCCTTGAAACCTCCACCCCCCCTCGGCCACGGGACAACCCAATACGGATTCGCTCGAGCCGCTCCAGCCCACTTTCCACCGCCGCCCGCCATCGGACGCCCAGCCTCGGGCCAGCCACTCCCACCGCGCTCGCCTTGCTCCCCCGACAGGCGGTCCGGAGTTTGTGCAGGCGCGGAATCGGCCATCCGGGGATCAGCTGTATGGGCCTGTGACGGGTAACGGGACACGCACCCTTGTCGCAGGCGGTGCTTTCGATGGGGTCACCGGCGGCGGGGTCGCGCGCCGAGCTGTCCTCACCCTGGGACGGCCACCCGCGGCCGGCCTTCGGTGTGGGGGACGCCGAGCAGCGGTTCGGCCAGCTGTCGATCGGGGATCACCACCCGCCGGGGTGCCTGCCCCGCGGCTGGCCGGCCGGGGCCAGGGGCCAGGAACCGTTGCCGGCCTTCGACGGCCCCTCGCTGTTCGAACACGGCCCCCCCGGCGGAGGGGAGGCCATGGACGTCGTCGGGGGCGGATGCGCCGCCCATCAGCAGCCCCACCGCCGGCTGTATCCGCAGTCGTCCATGGTGGCGCGCCTGGCCGAGGACAAGGACTTCGTGGACCCCAAGGACGTGCCCCAGCTGCTGCCCACGGAGCTGCTCGACTCCAAGAGCCTGGACCTGGCCGGCATCCTGAACAGCATGGAGGAGAGCGGGGAGATCCCGCCCGAGTTCGCAGCGCCCAAGACGCCCTCCGTGGAGGACCCCGTCTGCTACAGGCCGGCATCCCAGCACGACCGCCCGCCGCCGCCCGCCAACCCACCTAGGATCCCGAGGGCCGACGGCAGCGTGCGCGAGGTGCGCCCGGGGGTGATCGGCACCCGCTCCGCGCCGTCCTACAAAGCCCTTCAAGCTCAATACGCGGATCATGCCGCACACAATCGCAGCTCCAGCGAGCCGGTTTATGCCGGCGAGGCCCTGGCCGCAGTTCCCGTGCTTGCCCTGGTGCCCGCATCCCGCCTGCCGGCCGTTTCGGCCGCCTTCCCGCCCCTTGGCGCGCAGCTGTGGGCGGATTGCCAGAAGCGGCATCGCAAGAAGGCGGCAAAATCCAAGCCGGGGAGGAAGGGGCCATCACCTTGCGCTGGGGTGAGCCCGACGGAAGCGGAGTGGGAGAATGGCAGGGGCAGGGGCGGCGCAACGCCAGAGACGCCTGGAAGCAGCGTGGGTGATGGTTCCAGGGGATCCAGTCGTGGCAGGCGCAAGGGGGGCAAAAAAGCGGTCAAGCAGCCCTCTGCAGAGGCGCCCCAGCCGCAGATTGGCAGGCCACCTGCGAAGAAGGGAGCTCCAGGAGGTGCCAAAGTGTCCGGCACAGGCGCCGGGACGGGCATAAAGCTGGGCTCCCGGAAATCGGTGTCCAAGGGCGAGGTCAAGCGGCTGGTGAGGTACCAGGTGTGGGTGGGGCGGCCCATTCGGACGCCCTGGTACAGGGAGAAGCCCCGGGGGATGAAGCGGGAGGGGGAGGGGGATGAGGATAGCGAGGAGGAGGAGGAGGAGAACGAGGAGGAGAACGGGCCGAGGACACCCAAGACACCAACGCCCAGGGAGCACCCCAAACCACCCATCAGGCCCAGGATCGTGACTGGGCCATCTGGGGGAGGACCAGCGCAGCCAGGAATCCAGGTGGGATATGGAGCCTCGCCCTCGTCGCCAGACGTGAAGGGGACAGGGTTCTTCTGCCCACGTGGGCAGACTGCGCCCCGCAAGTGAAGCGGGCTGGCATTTGCAATTTTTGGTGGTTCATTCCGAATTTGTCATCACCGGCGGGAGAATCTGGCGGGCCTTGCGGCCTGCGTTTTCGCTCGGGGTTGCTTGTTTGGGGTCTGGCAGGAGGGGCCCAGTCAGGGCGGCCTGGCGGTGTGCCAGGGCGTGTGGATGGGGCCGTCGATGCCAAGAACAATGTGGAGCACGCCCGCAGTGCAGACGCCGAGATTGGCGCTGTGCAGGGGTTCTCGACCACAGGCGGGGGGCGGAGGAAGGGGGTGCAGGCAACTTGCGGCCCCCCATGCTGTTCTGTATTTGATTGAGGTCAGGATTTGATTGGCGGAAGCTTGGAGCTTGGGGCATGCAGTCGAATAAGTGTTGGTTCTGGGTGGCGGCGGCAGTACTAGAGCGGCTCCCTGGCGGGGGCGGTCACAGTGCGGTTTGCATGAGCAAGCAATAAGGCCGTCGCCTGGGGGGCTGGGTGCCTCAGGCTTTGGCATGTACTCGCGTGTATTGTTGATATTAGCCCCACTCTTCGAGGTGCGACGAATGGCGATGTTTGGAAACAGAGTGTCTGGGGGCTCTATTGGCCGGGTGCAAAACAACAGAGGAACAAGAGAGAACGGAACATGCTGGCATGGTGGTTTGCAATGAATAAGTTGTGGTGGCTTGCGTGTGGGGGCGCCTGCCCCCAGGGCAACTGCTTAGTCCATAGTTGCCTGCAACGATGCACAATGGGGTCACAGCTGTTGGGCTGGAACAAGGCAGCCTGTTTGTGGGAAAGTGCTGCCGGTGCACACAGGCTTTGCTCATAATTGTTTGTACCTATTCCCTATAAGAGGGGCTCCACTATGGTGTGGCACGTGCGACGGGTGGTGTATCAGTAGAGGGTAGGTGGGTCCTGTTCAGCTGGGTCCCATGGCGGAATTGGGCACCATGCCGCTTGTGTTGCCTCCGCAGCGCAGCCTGCCATCCCTCGCACTGGGTGGCGGCGGCAGCAGCAGCAACAACCTATTCCTGGGAGCGGGGTTGTGTAAGGGCCAAGGGTTGGGTCCTAGCCTAAGGTGTTTGTTGGGCAGGCTGGGAGGACCTGCGCTTTGCCTCAGGTTCCCAAGAGGGAATAAACAATGGGCAAGTGTGCACAAAGTGGGGATTGTTTTCGTCGGTTCTGTGAAATTTTGCCGCGGACAATGGAGAGGAACAATGCGCCGTTACCTGATGACCAACGTTACCCACCCCACTTGTTCTTTGCAGTTTCCTTTTTTGCTGTTGTTGATCGGTGTAGATGCGAAGAGAGACACATGAAGCTATGGCGAAGGGAATGTGAAGGGATGGCTCCAGAGAAGGCCGGGAAACGACCTCGCGTTCGTGAGCGCCTGTGCTTGTTCCAAAAGGCGAGGTGTGGCGCCACCGCAGCACTGCCACGAATCACAGTGGCGGGATTGCACAAGCCAGAGGCTTCAGGCCGGTCTCGGGCCCTCCTTCCAGTCTGGCCTCATCGTGTTGCGATGTTGAAACCAGACTGCACTGGCCCTGCAAACAGCAACTACAACCAGCGCCCCCCACAACACCCCCCGTTCATATTCTACACCATGCCCCACAACAAACCCACAGGCCCGCGCATTGGCAACCCATATGCCTTCATGTATCCACGCCTGCTTGCATGGAATTCGCCCCGTCCCTTGTCAAATAATCGCCGTCGAAGTGCAGCTCTCGGACGACTCCGACTCCTGAAAGGTGCCCCTTGCCGGTGTCACGAGCAATGAATCGAACGCCCTCCTGCAGCCACTCGGATCGGTGTGCAAAGCGAAACCGCACCCGAGCCACGCACCACGGCAACTCGCCGTCATCGCTGGCATCGTCGCCCCCAGCCGCCCCAGGGTAGGTCGCAACTGCTGTCGCGGCCGCGAATGGCGCCGGGACCCAATCCAGGCTGCTCCTGCTGCCCTCCTGGTCGTGCTCTTCCATGCTCACCACCTGCGCCGCCTGCCGGATGCTCCCCGCGTGGATGACCGGGAGATACAGCGGCGTCTTGTGTCGGTGCCTCGACCTAGGCCAGTGCATTATTTTGTCAAAATGTGCCTGGCATTTTCCCGTTGTTCGCCAGACTGAATGGCTGTGCACTGGTCGCAGAATTGGACCAAAACGACCCTTTGCGGGCGCTCCTCCTGAAAATGAAATTCCAAGAGATTATAATCTGAGCCCGAGGGAACAATTCCGCTGCTTTGAAACTTGCAAAGTGTCCCCAAGCGCACAGCTTCCGTATTCTGCAGCATGGCAACAAGTCTCCCAAAAATACGTACCTGGGAGGGCAGTGCGCCTTTGCATGGCGTGCATGCCATGCTTTCCTTTTGTTTCGCGTGATGCCCAGCGTCTAAGCAGGTCACTTGGGCTTTAAGCTACTTGAACTATTCAACCGCACACCGTCACCGGCGACCTTCTGCATGGGATAGCCCGAGTAGGCCACCAGGGCAGTTGTGTATAAAGAGCATCAAAAGCATTCGTTTTCTGGGCATTGTGGAACGTGCCGAAAGCAGCTGATGCTTAAAAGCGTCAATGATACATCAGCTGTTGCGAGAAAAATGGAACAAAAGAGGAATAGGACTAATTCATAGGGACATGTTCAAGATAGAAATAGAAAAGAAAAACAAAGGAATTGGACTATTTCGTATGGGCCAATTCAAAATACGTGAAATCGTGCCCAAATTGCCGGCTCGTGGATGACGAGAGAAGCAGGATGCAAGTCCAGGTGACCAAATGGACAACATGCTTTCTGACCACCAAACACCTCAGCCAGCCCGCACAAAAGCCACACAAAACGCACACAACGGACCTGGACCGCCCGACGTCCACCCTGCCGCACCGCAGGTCCGCGTACGACCCCCCGCTCTGGCTGTCGCTCTCCGAGTCCGCCGCCTCGTCCACGGGCGGCCACCGGCCGGACAGCAGGCCCCTGGGCGGCCAGTGCCCGCCCAGCAGCACCACCGTGGCGTCGAACTCCCTCGCGGTCGTCGTGCCCAGGCTGGCGCCCAGCAGCACGGCGCCCTTCACCGGCGGCGCGGTGGGAGAGGGCGGCGTCCGCGACCGGGACCAGTGCTCCCTCCCTTCCCACCCGTCCGGCAAGTCTTGCGCGTCGCAAGGCGCCCCAGGGCGATTGTCTCCGGGCTGTCCCCATTGAGTCACAGTGTCGTCACCCAATCTGGACGCGTCCTGTCTACCGAGTCCTTCCTCCCTTGCCTTGTCTTGCCCTGTCCTGTCCGTTCCGTCCGCCCCATCCGCGCTGTTCGTCCAATCCGTCTGTTGTCCGTCCGTCTCGTCTTGTCCCGTCCGTCCGGCCTCGTCCGTCCCGCCCGTCTGTCGTCCGTCCGTCTCGTCTCTCCTTGTCCTTCCGGCACTGTCCGTCCAGTTCGTCCGTTCTCCGTCCGTCTTGTCTCCTCTTGTCCGTCCGGTCTCGAGAGGGTCGCCCGAATCCGTCTCGCTTCGCGACACCCTGATTCGATCCATCATCGCCGCACCGAGGTCTGGGCCCGCGGGCCCACCGGTGCTGAGCGCCAGCGTGGCGGTCTGGCCAGCTCGGACGGCCTTCACGGGGATCTGGCTGCGCTGGATGCAGGAGACGCTGACGGGGACGAAATTTCCGTCTGCGTCGGGCCCCAGGTTGAGTCGCTGGCCCAGGGTGATCGTGCCTATGGGCGCCGACGCGCGCGCATTCGTGTTAACGCCAAGCCAAAAAATGGAAACGAAGTTGGCAGTATGGTAAGAAAACAGGAGAAAGGCATGGACCCAAGTGTGGGGATGTAGTGAGAAACAGAAGAAAGAAGGAGGTCTTGTCAAACGGAAGGGTCCAAAACGAGAAACTTCAGAAAGTACGTGAAGAAAGGACGCTCCCAGGTTAATGGATAATAAAGTGGATTGACTTTGTCACAATTGATCAAGCTGCATTATGGCACAATACCCTCTACCCTGAACAGTATTATGACAAAGCATAGGTTGACAAAACCACTAAAATCCCAACCTCCTCTGAAGCTATATACCGCCAGTGCTCTGCACAGAAGAATGCATAGGCTCCCCAAAACAGGCAAAATCGCGCTGCCCTGTCCCCTCACCGTCGACGGCGGTCCCAGAAACGACAAGGCCGACGTCTGCAACGTCAAAAGTCTGGTCGACTTGGAATCGGCAGCCAACGCCACAGTCGCCAGCGGATCTGCCTGCGCTTCCGCCCTCCGCCTGCGCTGGAGTGCTGGAAGGGTCGGAGCTGCGCTGCAGCGTCGAAGGCTGCAGGCCGCTCAGGAGCGTGTGCAGAAGCTGGAGGCCTGGATGTACATCATGACAGTCGTCATCACTCAGCTCTCACATTATCTCTAGTCAGTCAATCAGCCAGTGATGACAGAAGAAATAAAAGCCACAACCACACATCATCGTTCAGTTCACGCCTCTGTTGTGTTGTCTGCACACACGCTTTGAAGGAATGTTGCTGGCTTGCACAGCGACTGCATAACCTGCAGCACGTCTTCCTTCCTCTTGACAGGACAACCATTGACCATCAACAACTGTCGTGCCATAGACGGCAAATCGTCCATTTCAGACATTTTCTATTCATGCACAGATCGTGTCAAGTGGTTGCAAATAGAGTTCTGCTGCTGAGCCATGCAGCAATGCAAAGCGCAGCAGTGATGTGCCTGCTACCGTCATCATGGTGGCCACCTCAGGCAGCGACAGAAGCAATATGGAGGGGTTGGTGCCTCGTTCTATCACATGGCCATGCCCTTTGGTGTGGTCATACCCCCTGGGTCAGCTATCGCAGTGCTGCTGTTGCCTGGTGAAACACCTGCAATAGCGCTGGCCACAGGTGGCTGATCGCATCAGCACTCACAGCCAGTGCACTGACCCGCTCTGACAGACTTCAATGAAGTCGTGCTACAACATGGAACCAAGCTCTGTACCACATATGACAAGCCATCTTTTGGGCCCATGCTCCACCGATGTGATAGCAGACACGATCAGTGAATGTGGGTGTGAATCCAAACGTTGATCAATTTCGATGTCAATCCATGAAAAGGACTCAAATGGAGTTTCGGAACTGCAAAAACAGCAGAAACACAACCAATGCCAGAGGGCATATTTGCAGGGCTTTGTGTGGCCATAGTCTCACCTGCGCCCGTTACGGATGACACCATGAAGATGGGTATGGACACCGGAACAGAATAGCTCCCAGACCTCATCCGCTGGTTTTGATGAGTCAACTCCTTCGACCAGTGCTCTGCTTCCTCCTCGCTGCAGATGCAGGGGGTGCAGGCCTGATAAGTTGGCAGTCCGAAAAATGGCGCTTCAGAGTGCTTATACAAGTGGGCAGGCATGGAACATATGGTTCCCACGGTGACTTAATGATTAATAATTGATTGTTATGATCATGGACATTCCATGTGCACGTGTGTCCAACATATCCTTGCAGGAGCAAGGGCTGAGCCCTGCGACTTTTCGACAAATGTGGTGAAAGCAGTCGCACACAGATCACGCACACAGTCCAAACCCGGACCATGGTCTGTCAAATGCAGCGCACATGGCAATGTCCAAATCCCCCGTCGGGCAACTTTGCGCTCTGTTCAACATGCGAAGTGTCTTCCAGTCGACTTCCATGGTTCTATGCCTCAAGACAACCCAGGAGATTCAGGTGTTGATCTTCTGGGGACGAAACGTGATCAACCCTGGAGTGTGCACATGTGCCGTCTATCATTTGACGATCGCTTCACTAATATCATCCATTGGCATTCATATCTTGCCCAGCGTCTAATGTCTTCATTTCTTGTCCAGCATCTAGCAGTCGGGCATGATATATATCCCTCACCCAGTCATATTGCTGAAAACCCAGTAATCTGAGTATCTGGGGTTGGGGGTTTGGAGTGCACTATTAATAAAATTAGCATTAAAACCAGTGCTAAAGATCTGAGGCGTGGGCAAAAAGAACGCGCAAGGAATCAGGCGCCCACAGCCAGGCAGCAGGATCCTTGCACAGCCGAAGTCTCCATCCCTGTGCTCCCAATAAGGACTTGGAGAAGTTTCCGCGCCCCTCGCCAGGATGCCGCGCTCGAAGCAGCGCCTCGCGGGCGTGCACGACAACATGGGACGGCCTCGCCGGCGCCCCATTGGGGTGCCGCTGCCAAAACAACGCCTTGCCCACATCAATTCGAAAGTTGGACGGCTTCGCACATGCCTCATTGGGATGCCGCCGCCATTGAAACAGCCCATGCGTGCGAACACACGTTCCAACGCAACATACGTTCCCATGCATTGGACGGCTTTTTTTTTAATTCCAATGTATTACATCAAAACATTGGACGGCTTTTTTTTTAATTCCAATGTATTACATCAAAACATTGGACGGCTTAACAAATGCTTCGTTGGCGTGGCCCCCTCCAAGCAGCGCATCCACACGGAGAAGCTGCCCTGCGGACATTGGACCGCGGAACCAGTGCCCATTCGCATCCCGCACTCGGACAATCGTCCCGTACATCCATGCGAGCATCGGACGGCCTTACTAATGCGCGGTGCGATTCCGGGAGCACAACTGAGGCTCAGCCGAGGCTCAGCCGAACGAGGACAGTCGACCGGATCTGTGCGGGCGCCGCCCAAAGAGGAGCCGCAAGTCGTCGCGTGGCGGTTTGGGGCTGCCGGACGGGGCCCCAGGGCAGCCGTCGACTGCGCTGGCCTCCCTTCGGCGCGAGAGAACATTTCTGGAGAGGTAATTTGTCGGTAGGCTACAGGAAGCGGGGAGGGTTTGGGCACAGGGCACTGGCAGCGTTACTGCGAGGGATATTCACTGCAACAGAAAGAGGAACGCAGCGTACAATGGGCGCCCCCTCCTGTGCAAGACAGGGTGGGACTTTGTGCCATGCTGCGGCAGATGATGCGGAAGTCTCTGAAGGCGGGTGAGACCGCTCGGCGCCGTGCAACGTGCACTGCCCAGGTACCGTGACCGCCGAGAACAGTGTCGAGCGCTGAGGATACAGTCGCGGACCGTTTGGGCTGGGTACATGATGACAGCAGGCATGCACCTGGCCAGCAGGGAAGAACACCAATTGCGATGAAATGCGATGCGCCGTGATGTGGTGATCTTGGAGAAAGACCAATGGCATTCCGTCACTAAAGGAAACTGCCTTCGCGAGCTTGTGCAAGAGACCATGACAAGCGAAAGGATCGTGGCGTGCCTTGTTGCAGGCTGGCTATTTCTGTTGAGGACGCATTCAAGCATTGTGGGTGCAAGGTATCTTCAATCTGACGTTGACATCACAGTGCGAAGGCACCACATTATCACGCACAGCAACTGCAATCCAAACAGATATTTCCAATTCTACCGAACTGGCAAATCTGCGTGAGGATTTTGAGGGGATCGGCATCCGTCAGTGCAAGAGCACAAAGGTACCACTTTGTCAGGTGACAGCAGTTGCGATCCAAACGGTTGTTTCCACACGATGATGCGCGTGCGTGTACTTAAGAGCCTACCTCCCCTGGCCCTTCCTCCCCCAACCGAGCTCCGAGAGCCTTGTCAGCCACTTCGACAATTTGTCGCACATCGTCCAACACCCGCTGTGCCTGGGCCGCATCCACAGCATCCACTTTGGTGATCACGACGGCAACAGGGATGTCTAGGGCTAGGGCGACCGCCAAGTGTTCTCGCATCACACGCTGTGGTCCAGAGGCTGCAGAGACGCACAGCAGCATGTAGTCCAGAAGCATGGAAGTCATGCCTGCAGTAATTGCAAAAATGGAACAACCAAATTAAAAGAAAAATTCAAGAAATCTGCAGGTGGCATGCATCTGCAGGTATCTTTCTGGGGAACACAAATGCAAGTGATGCACAGAACCTTTGGTTCCAAACAGAACAGGGATTCGCTGGCCACTGTGCATGCTGGCCACTTCATGGCCAAGTCGGAGAGCATCGATGCTGATGGCCTGGGCCCACTACGAGCCCATTGCACACTGCAAGCATCAACACAGAGACTTTGGTAACAAGGGCAGCTGCCCCCAAAGTTTGGTCAGACTTTCCACCAGTTACTATGTTTGCCTGTTGCAGAATACTTTACCCACTCACCATAACCAAAGCTCAACAAGGCACACTTCACAAATCCCAGGGGCTCCAAGGTAAGGATCCAAAACTGCAACAGTAGCAAGTTTGGATAGCGACAGGGCTGACATTATCTAAACCTGTTTGCAGATGATCCAAACTTTGAAATTATCCCAAGAAAAGCAACCTGTGATCTCACTTTCGGCCCCCACAACGAATACACCTGTGAAACTGCGTATGTCATTCCACAAAAGCATGCAAGGTTCATCATAAGCTCTGCAACAACAACATTGTCATGGAAATGTACTGCCATTTGCAATGCCAGAGTAAGGCACACAAAAACTGGTAAATACTGGAGTGCAGTCCATCCCCGCCAGTTTCTGGATTCTGCATTTGTAACAGCAGGCCTCATCTAAGGCTTCACATCAGCCTAGACAGGTACCGAATGTCGAGTTGCTCAATTCCATGCACATTCACACTGATGTTGTGCATTTATATTCATACACAACACAAATGTGCACGCATGGCACATATACTTGACATCCATGACATCTGCAGGACAAGGATGCCACTAAACCCCAAACACAAACCGTCAAGCATTCAAGCATGCAGAGGGGCACGCTTGACGGACAAGCTTTGACAAAGTGACTGCAAGAAGTACTAGGAGCAGCTGTTCTTAGTGCTGTATGCTGAACAATTCCTACACAGCAATTATCAGTGCTTCGACAGCTTAACCATTTCATCCAAAGGGCTGTTGAACCATTTGGCACAAGCAGTCAAACGATCGACGCACCATATAGCGCAGTCTTCAGATACTTCTCCAGCCCCCCAATGTCAACAAAGTTTATCTGCCTGGTTGCGGCCACACCGATCTCAGCCGGCGTCAATGTGGACACCCCCACGTAGTTCAGCACCCGCCCATCCTGATCATACCCCAGCATGTGCTGCGAAATGCTGGATGTCCTGCCAGTCTCGATCTCATGTTTGTGTCTCAGAACAGTCGTCCTGGCGCTGCCTCCCCCGTTGTCAAGTATTGGCTTGCCATCTGTCCCATGAGTCATCACAGCAACCAGCGTGCTCTTTCCACTGTCAGCTCCACCGGCAACTATGACCAATGAAATACAGTCCATGTGAGCTTCGTAATGTTGGCCACTAGGTGCCATGCATATTGTTTCAAGTTCTTGTCAATGGGACTTCTGAAGGCCACATCATTGTATGCATGGTTGTTGTTATTGTCAAGCATGCTACAAGGAGCATAAACCTCTGCTTGCCTTTGGTTTGTTAGGAATCGACACCAGACAATCTAGTGTTTCTATCCCATGCCTGCAGACCTACAAACAGGTTCACAAACTCCTAGCCGAAGTAGATGGGCCAGCGTTGTCTTCTAAGGGTGCAATGTACTGGCCATGGAGCTACAAATTGCATTCACATTGTCCATCCACACAGGACACTGTCAGAAACTTTTCTGCCTTTCCTTGATGTGCACATATTCTCCTGTTTATGTGCTTTTCTGAAACCCGTTAGTGTGCATGAAATTCTTCAAGAAATGCCAGCCAACCAAGGGAAAAGGTGCCGAAATACTCTTTGTTCCTGTGAATGTCGCACCTCTCAAGAGTATTCTCATGTTGCACTGAAACTGTCATTGTGTTGCGTTCAAATCCATGGTGACCCCAAAACAGTGCTGCTCAATAGATGAGACAAAACCACCAAATGCAGCCTGCTGCACAGCTGATCTCACAGTTGCGCCAAGGCCAAGGAGGCGAGCTAACTCCAGTGGTAGAATGGTAACACAAAGGGCGACAATACACCAGTGAAGCACCATCATGATTGTCCAATTTCAAGGTTGCAAAGCAGAATCGAAATTACCTTGCCCTTGATATCGGTGAGGACTCCATCTGCTCGACCAAAACTTAAATCTCTGACATGGGGGAACCTAAGGCTGCCAAGGTGCACTAGTGAAGTGGTGGCAACCATGGTGCTTGTGGGCACAACAGGTGTGCAAATGCATTTGTGTCTCCCAAACTTTTTATGAGTTGTGACCTTACACACCCATGGAAGGGTGAAAACAAAGTCTACCAATACCCTGTGGTTGAGTGCTGCAAACCAAGCGCCAAAATGAACACCTCTGAGTGCTTCAGTTGGTGAGGTGCCCAGATGATGTGCTTCTTGGTGGTTTCCCGGTACTTGGTAATTGTCAGTTGGGTATCTCTTGCCAGTCCACTGTTTCATGCAATCCACATCGACTAGCACCCTGGAATGCCTATTCTGCAGATTTCTGATGGGCTTATCCCAACCAAAGCCTTAATTGTACATGAGCATTGCTCTGTGTGTTTTGACAGATGTGTTCAAATTATTGAGCCTGCAGCCCTCGTAGTGTCATCAGCCACTTCATCAGACCTGCTATGAGAGCTGCTTGGAAGCTGGATGCCACCATTTCTCTCATCGATCATCAAACTGTCCTGTGACCCGTGCAATGCCGTCAAGACAATATGCGACCAATTTCTAGCTTTGCTTGGCTGTTCTTTTGCCCTGTTGACAACCAACCTGCTATCCGTATGTCCAGTCCAGTGACATCCTCTGAGCAGTTCTGCTGCACGTCCAAGATGGCATAGTGCAAGCCCGATGCCCCCTTGCACCACTGTCTCACTGTCGCAGTCGCACTAAGAGACTCTGCCATTCGCTTTGCGACAGCCAGAGATGCGTTCAGGTCATCTGCTTCAAGGCCCCTTGGGTAGCCATCGTCCTCCACTCCTGCGCACCATCAGCCTGTTGACTGAATGATCAATATCCCACTATGGTTGCAGCTGTCCAGCCACAAAGCTGCACTGCCATCGGGCTGTGCTGTATTGCACACTCATTTTGGGAAAGCGCAATACACGCCAACCATGCAGAACATTGTACGGAGTGGTACTTGCCAACATTAACAGGACATTGTACTGCTTTGCACACTGCCATCCATTGTGACACCTGCAAAACTACTACAGACACCGTATGATTGACTCACAGGGTGCATAAAACAACATGCAACAGCAATGCTACTGATAAATAGATGCAGAGCATGGCACATGAGCACACGTCAGGTACATGAGCGCATGAGGTATCACACAGACATTTTGGGGGGCTGATACCGAACACGATCACTCCATCATGGTTTTCAAAAGAGGAAGTAATGCAGAGACATTGGCCATGTTCAGTGGATACACACTCCAGTTTCGTGCAGATGTGCCCAGGCTGCAAGTGACAACATTCGACCAAGAGTTGGTTTGGAAGCAAGGGATGGGACCTCGCAGAAACCCTCTCTTGTGCAGTGTGGCAGGATTCGTGCCTATGGCAGCTTTAATTTTTTTCGCAGGCACTTGACGCACCAATGTAGTAGGTGCACTGTCCCTCCCCTTCAGATAGCCGGTACTTCATCTGGGTGACCTTCAACAGACGATCCAACACAGCTGTCAGGCAATAACTTTCATCGGTGCGTTCAGATGCTGTTGCCCTTGCGGAAACAATTACCCCATGCTGCTTGCTAGAATGCGTGGTCAGGTAATGATAGTGCTTTACAGTGCTGATACATGATGTATGCTGGTTAACAGCGGCAACAACAACTCACCATGGTATATTTTGGTAGACATGTGATTTTGGATAGGCATCGGAAACAGCAGCACATTCACAATGAGGTATAAGCAATATATAAACATCACCATTCTTGCTCAGGAGGGGCTGTCATACAATGATTCATTGTATGACAAGCTGCGTTGTGTTTGCAAAAGCATCTTCAAGTCGAACAAAGACATTGTTGAGCTGCCACCAGGACATCATAAGCTTCACAGACATCCATTTTGTTGGTAGGAAGTCAGCGGAAAATTTTAGTACACCCAGTCAACACCCACCTCCCACTTTCCTCTGCACACATAGTCAACAACCATTTAACAACAATTTAAGTGGCACAGCTCAGTTGGCCAGGCTACCACTATGGCGATCAAAGCAGGGGTCAGCCCCTTTAGGGTTAATGAGGATGATACCCAAATGGCACACACGACACGTGTGGCTTGACAACTGTTGCTTGATATGCATGTTGAACGTAGCGCAACAAAACGTGTGGGATCGTTGGGCCATTCATGAGCCACAGCAGTTTTCAGTCCAAAAATGCACATCGTCTATTGGGAATTGTGTGGTTCTATGCCCACAAAAATGTACAGCCTGGCTAGCAACTTGCAGCCAAGTGACTGACAGCATGTCAAAACACAATAATGCTGTGTCTTTTTTGCTGAAACTGTCATTTTTTATTAGTTTGGTTCTGGAGTTTAGATTGTACCAACTGCCAATAGCACTATGCCTTCAGGAGAGAAGAATACAACACTACTGGGTTGCCCAGGCAAATACGATGCAGAATCTGCCTTCCTCGGTACCTGCAGGCATGAATGCTACATGCCATTGCAGCAAATGGATGTCTCAGGTGCCAAGTGGAGGGCAGCACAGGATTGGCAACCATCTGTGCACCCTCCCAACACTGTGCCGGAAATGTGTTTCCTACACAGGGCATGGTCCTGCTAATCCCTTGGTTTATTCTCTTGCTCCACTTCCAACAGGACGCAGAGCCTCAAACGCCCCTGCTCAGGGGTTGCCCTTTTTATCCCCAACTCTTGCTGCCTGGGGATCTGTCTGCTTTGTGTGCCCTTATGGCATGGGGGTTGGGGTGTTCCTTTTCCTCAGCATTGTGATCCCCTTGTGTGCTGCTGGAAAAACTGACACCCTCTTATGATACGAATTGGCAGAGATATGTCCATTTCGTTCGTCACATTCCATGTTATGGGTGCACGTGTTCCTCCAAGAAAATTCATCAAGGAAAACTCATCGTGCAGGACAGAATTGCACAATGCATCAACACAGCCCCAAACGTACACACATCTAGCTCACTCTGGTGGACAATACTTGCCCCCTAAGCACACGATGAATCGAGGGTTCTGGTCGTTCTTGGAGATTTACTAGCATGGATACAACATTTTCTAATGTTGGCACTTCCAATCCGATCGACAATGACAGACCCTTGGTTTTATTCTTTTGAGACTGTCCAATTCTTTTCATACGCTCTGTCTCCTGGGTTTCACATCACTTCAGCTTTCTATCAAGGTGGCAGAGCCCCACAACGTCTCCATCAGGAGGGCTCAGCCCCTAGATGATGTACCGTTTTGGCATCAAGCAACCAACCCCACACACCACCACCTCCCAGCCCTGGAAGCTCCGCCTCATCTTTGCGCGTATGGCACAGAGTTTCACAAATACATGCTTATGAGCGGGAGTCCTTGGTGTGACCTGTTTCTCGTTTATTAACAAGTGCAACCGCATCATTCCCACCCCAATCACCCCACACCACCCATTGTTCCCAATGCACCAGAAACATTTGCCAGGACTAGTGTGCCATTTTCCATGCTGCTGTGTTGGCGTGCTGTTTTTCATGCTGCCGTGTTAGACACATTCGCCAAACCACCGTCTCACCAGTTGCTGAAATCGGACCGCGTTGGGGTCTTTGATCCGGAGCTTGTACTCCACGCAACCCTCCTCATCCTCAGGCCCCAACCCGCTGACAGTTGGGTCCCTCCCCTCGTCATCATCGTCTCTGCCGTCCGGCTTGGGTGACGGCAATGCGCCGTCCACGCCTGCCTGAGAAGAGGCACCTTGGCTTTTGTGGGAGCCCCTGGACCCAATCATGAGTGGTCATATGGGGGCGCCAATGGCGGGCATGGAAAGGGGTGCAGCAAAAAGGAGAGGGGTGTGAATTAGGGTGCGAATATGATTTTCATGCTGCGCTCTGAGAAAGCTAAGTCGCCCTTTGGAGCAGAGAAGAGTCTGAAACGCGGTGATTGGGTCCGTGGGTCCGTTGCCTGAACTGTTGGCCATCCCTGGAACAGCCCTGGGGCGGTGGAGAGAGGGGGGGATGAAACCATTGGAGGAATGCCCAATTGGCCGTTCACAGTCGCGCATCGCAGGCGGTAGAAGTCCATTGTTCCTGTCTCTCAGCACCCCGTCCAATGCCCCCTCCCCACCACCACCCTCCCTCACGCGCACCGTCCCCGGTGCACTCTGGGACCTCCGCATCATCCAACCAAAAGCGTCTCACACGGGCAACCCTCCTGAGTGGCCACAATCCTTCTCATTCTTTGAGGGGCCGGTACTCTACTCTTCGATCGCCAATCACCGCCGTCGGCTGCTCACCGCTGCTTCCTCTTCTCCGACGCAGGCGTGGATGCCGGCGCCACCGCCACCCACTTCCTGGGCTTTCTCCGCGACCCCAGGTCCAGGTTGCCCAAGTCATCATCCAGCATGGTCACCCCGCATCAGATCAGGACACCACCGATCCAAGCCACCGCCCAGGCCCTGAAGCCCGTGCCCCGTGGCCCCTTTTTGGGGCGCCTCGCCTCGAGAACGGCCGTGGCGCAGCTGCCTGGGCTCGTCCCAGCTTCAGACACATTCGTGGGCGCCTTTGTCCCGGATGCGGCCATACTCTTTTCTACACTGACCGACACGCAGACCCAGACCGAGACGGAAAACGGGCCACGATGGTCGGGCGTTACGGTATGTGTTCATATTCTAGATACGTCTTCAGCCACCCCATTCCTTCTTATGCAGATGGAGTGATGATGCTGATGATGCGGGTTGTTTGTTTGTTGATGTTTGAGACGACGGTTGTCCGGGTCCCGTGATGTCGATTGCCGAGGAACTCAGACACGATTTCATCATCAAGAATTCTTACATATCAAGTCCAGGAGGCAGCCATCATCTTACTATTTCGCCCCAGTGAAGCAGTGCCCAGGAACTGTTTCACGAAAACTAAGGCATTGCCACAATCCGACCATTGAATTGCCGTACATCAGAACGTGCAAACCGCGCAAAATTCGGTACCATCAAACTGTCTCCAGGCATGATTTCACCATGATAGCTGTCAGGAGTTAGTCGCCCGTCATCACGAAGGGTCGTTTGTTTGTTTGCCTGTCCCTTCCGCGGATACATCGCCATGGCGTCGCAGGCATCGATCAATGCGGCGCACAAATTCAGTGTGTGGGGGCACGTCCGGGCCAGCCTGCGCCTCCGCAAACGCGCCTTCAATGGCGGCCGCAGCTGCCCCCGATCCCCCAGAAAACCCACCACAAAGCGTCTTTAGGGTACGTGCTCATATTGTGATATTATAATATGTTGTTCACGTTTCTCTGTCTCCGTATCAGCGGCCAGTATCCGGAACGCCCTGGACGCGGCGATGGGGTCCGGCCGCCCTTTGTGTCGTCCAGCCGACGGCTATGATGCGCGCGAAGACGCCCAAAACGACGTCCCGGTCGTCGCCGAACGGACGAGCGACGGAATGGCGAAAACGGAACGAGCGAAGGCGGCGACGACAGTGCAGCCCTGAGAGCCCCAGGCGGCTGTCGTTTGTCCGCGGCTGGTCGTGGCTGCGCGGCCTGTCACTGGGATAAGGGCAGCCGCTGGAGGGCGCGTCAAAATGTTTCGTTTTTTTGGTCGCCAGGGCGTGGTGACCGACGGCAAAAACGGCGGAGGGGTTACCCGGCGTTTGCAGCCAAGCTTTCCACCTATGGAACCAAAAAGGGGCCCCGGAAACGAAAAAGATAAAAGTGCGCAACTCTGGACTCCAGGGCTCCCGGGGGTTACACTGCCTCGGACGGGGAGCGCGACGTTTGGCATCCACCGGCACCGCCGACGCGTGTGCGGCTAGATAGGGGACGGGTGATCAGATCGGTAGTCCCGTGGGTTGGGAGACGAAGGCGAAGCGTCGAAGCGAGGGCGCTGCCCCCCAGGGACGTGGACCGGTTGCGGACAGGCGCCCTGAAGCGCGCGGTGTTGTCGCCACAAACACAGGCGGCTTTGGGAGTGAGTGCCGAAAGCCTGAAACAAATGCCCTTCAGTGGTTGGAACGGCGTTTCTTTCCCAGAAAAGTGCTTTGATGTCGCAAGAGTTGAGCCGGTGGTATTAGTTTATATTTGGCTTGGCGGTGGGTAGCATGGGGCCGAATCGTGAATTTTTGGCCTTGTCTTTTGGGCAACCTTCACCGCTGCAAGCTTAACTAATCAGTGTCATTAGTTGATTAACTGACAGTGATTGGCACTGTAGGATTTGCTCCACTCGTAATGCACACACTACAATTTGAACACGCATCCATTAGAAGTACATCATAAAACATATAGCAGTATTTTGAGGTACAAAATATAGCAGTACATGTACTTTTATCTTGTACAAGACCAAGAACGAAGCATGGCAACACCAGCAGCGCGCGTTCTGCTCGGAGGAGCCAACGTAATTGACATTGAGGCTCCTGATGTGTGAATTAGCAATGAAAACATATCAATATTTGCCCGTGCACGTTCTCAGTTTTCTTCTTTGGCTTGCGGGCGTGCACGTGTGCACCTGGCTCGCCACACCAACTGAATGCTGCTGTTCGCCTCCAGAATTGGGTTGCACTTCCGGATATCTATTTCTGATATGTACTTCCGTGATCAAAGGAGGAGGTTACGGCGCCCGATTTCCCAGACCGGCAGATGCGCATTGGCCCACACGCAAGTCAAAGAAAAGGCAACCGTTGGCGTTTGACGACGTCAAGTCGTGAGCACATGCCTCGCCGCCAAGCCAGGAATATCTCCTCATTTGATTGAAGCGCACGTGGAGCGCAGAAGCCACTCTGCCCCTGCACGCCCCCCTGAGAGTTTCCCACCTGCATTAATTCATAACTAGGTGAGTAGTTGCAAGTGAGGCTGTCAGTGGCTCACATGCATCTGCTTAGGATTTCCAGTCATTCACAGGCTATTCAAATGCACTACATATGCGGATTATGTTCTGAGGGCGCTGCCCATGTACAAGGAGGTGCGTCATATACAGTGCGCATATATGCACACCTATATATGCACTCCTATTTAGGAGGTGTCAAAAATGACTGGAGCTGAGACGACAGTATCCCTAGGGATATGCGCAGGCCTGCATACACAGTTTGATATGCCGAACGTGATATTGCGCATTCTAAAGTGCAAAATGTCATTTTAGCTCTTGAACTCTTGTGTGGCTGTGCTCGCAAGTAAGAGTGATCCAAGCGCCGAACAATGCTGATGGTCATCACATCGTCAAGCAGGCTTGGGTTTTGCGTTTGCGTTTTAACGTTAACGTTTTTACGCGTAAATCGTAAATTTGCAAGAGGACCTATTTTTACGGCTACTTTTACGTGTTTACGGCTCCCTGGCACACCCAGGTTACACGATGAAAGTTGCGTACAATGATCAGTCCCCCGCCATCTCCAGCACCCGCAACACAATGTCCACCTCGCCCTTGGCAAGGGCGATAATGGCGCTCAATAAAAACTCGTTTTAGACCCCTTCCAGGGCGTCTGTCTGCCACTTTCCGGACTCCATAATTCTGTATGTACTGTCCCTATATACAACGGGCAGCTTTTACGTTGTATTTACGTATTTTTACGTGTTTTATGCGCAAACACGTAAAAAACTATTTTTACGTGTAAAAATGTCAATACGATCAGTTCTTACGGCGTAAAAACTAAGCCTGTTGTCAAGGCAGGCGTAAACACTGCAGAGAAGTAGTAAACAGCAGTAGAGAAGTATTCAAAATATGAATTTCCAAAAACTAAGCTAGAAAATCACCAGTCTTGTTGGTGTGTACCGCTATCGGATCTGAAAGGGCGCCTCTGCAGCGCCGCAGGATGGCAGAGGAGGTTGCGGGAGCTTTAAATGAGGTGCATAACGACTTGGCTGCAAAGAAGAACGAGACTGAAGACAGAAAGATTCACGAGCGCCTGGAAAAGCGGGCGCATGTGGTGCGTTCGATTTTATAAATATTGATGAATAACGAATCGCATTCACTGACAATACATAAATTTATCCGAAAATTAAACTATTTCGTTCCAGTCATGAATGTTAGAAGGCAATTACGTTCGTTTACCCATTGATTGCGCTTGTAGGACAGCGACAAAACAGTGCCCTTCGGTCCATTGTATCAAGTTATTCTTGTGACTGATGCATGGCGTAACATATGGTGCATGGATGGAATACTATTGAATTAAATATCACTAAAATAAATAATCATATTGATGACACTTGCTTGCACCAGCAGAAAACAGCATGTTTGCGATGCCAAGTGCGACGCCATTTGACACAAATTGATGCCATCACAGCCACTTTTATGCCATCACAATCACTGTGACGGCATCAATTCGTGTCAAAATAGCATCGCAGTTGGCATCGCAGACATGCCGTTTTCTACCAGTGTTGTTTGAATATGAATCAAAATACATGATGTGCATGAACACCATCTTCAGACAGGAGCCCCGAGCATACTTTCAGCTGCGCACAATGTGCTGCAGATTTTGGGATGCCTTCGGAGGTATTTGAAATCTTACGAGGCCCTTCAGTGCGAAGAGAGGGCGACCAGACGGCAGGCGGCCATCGATGCACAGCAAGGCAAGAAACAGAAAAAGGCGAAGAAGTCCAAAAAGGGAAAGAAGGGTAAATCGTCGCCCATGGTATGATCCTTGCAATGCGCGCTTGCTCACATTGGCTGCAAGTAATGAATGTCAAAACAACTGGAATTTCCAATGTAACAAAAATCGATGCCGTTGCATTTTGAAGATATCGAAAGCATCTGCATAGATGTGGAGACGCTGAAATCGCAGCTATGCAACTGCATTTGTGTTGAAATGTTTTTTGAGTAGCGTTTTACATGCGGAACACCAAATCAGTGAATTTCATTACATGAATTCGGCGCCTTTTGAATTAACCATAGATAGATATGTGGCACTAAGTAAAGATTTGCCTACATATACAAGTCTTGTCTGATTTTCTTGGAGATGTGCTCAGAAGCTATGTGGATATCTCTTCTTCCTTTGAGAAAATAGCATGACAAAAAACAATAAACAAATGCAATATATCATTCATGTCTCAATGCACACAAAATTCAGTGCATGCATGTATTTATTACCAAAAACAAGCGGGCGCACCGGTGGCGACGCCATAATCGTGAACGTGAGCAACCAGCCATTGGCGCTGATGGGACCACAACTCCGCATCGCTTTTGAGTCAAACACTACTGGAATCGACGCCAACAGGCCTATCGCTGAACAGGATGATGCAAAGCGGCAATGGGAGCCCCAATAAATATTCAAGCTCCATATGTTCAGGCACTCAACTACATCAACTACAGAAAAACTTTTTACATGTGTTTTTTTATGCCATGCACGCGTCTGGTTCCTTGCTCCATTCCCATCCTGTCCTTGCCGTTGCAGTGAAGGGCAGTCCTGTGGCAGCTATCCGAAACAGCG